GGCCGATTCGTGTTACGGAGATGCTCGACTAGTATATCACTGAGAGAAATACTCGTACGAGGGATCGAACCCTAGACCTATCGGTAGTTTACATCATTCTCACACTCATAGCCTCGTGGCCTTTATGTATGCCCAAGGCCGGGTTAACATGCGATATACAACGGAGAGATGGCGACCGGCGTAAGAGGTCTACGTGAGAATCCCAAACGTGAGAGTAGGGGCCATGGCCGAGGTCGTGACAAAGCCCTGCGATGATCACGCAGAGCTTATCCTCCTCATCGATGCCGTATTCAGGTTGGTTACAGCTCAGCTGATCGACCAGCTTCTTCCTGAATGAACAACCGGAAGGTCCCCGGTTCAAACCCAAGAGCCGGCTTACGCTAAATAGGCAGCTCCAATGGAATGCTCGAACCTAGTGTGAGTAGCCCCCATGAAGACATATCCAGCGGAACCTGACAATACCACACTTCATCACTTCGTCTGTTCACCACCTCACCCAGCTGTGATTCATTCCTCAAGCGCTGAAAGTAAGGCGTGTCTATTATACGCCGACAGATCTCTGGTAGAGTAATGAGCCTATGCACCGGACACTGGGTTGAGAACCCCTCATGGAACGCCAGAGTATGTCCAAGAACCTGCCAAGACCGGTGGTCAGATAATCGCACTAACCCGTGTCACACCTTGAGGTGGTATCTTCCCTGCTCCTCGAGGTCGCACAGAGGAACCACAGCACCGGTAGTGGCATCTCTCAGCTCGATCGATCGCACTTTCTCTAAACCAAATGAGTACTTCAGCTGAGTGAGAAGTCCCTTAGTGCTTTTAAACCTGAAGGGGAAAACCAGTGAAGGCATAAACCAGTGCTGTCGCGCAGCTTACGAGAATCTCTCGATCTTTCCTTGGAAATCAACTTCAATCAGCCTTCTATAGAGGTCTTCAGAGAGGGCTTCGGTTCTAGCTGGAGTCGCTTCATTCACTAGGTCTCCATCATTCTCGTTAGGCGACATTATGACGGCTACTACAAGGGAAACAACTGAGGAAAGAGGGAAGATCACGATGAAAGAATTTCAAGTCAATAACAGCATCCTTTGATGGCAACAGAGCTTTCACGATGGACAAGCAGTCAAGTGGTAGTCAGCAATGTATTGATCATGAGAAGGTATAAGCTTATCCGAGCATAGGAATCGGTGTTCTCTTCTCATCGAGAACACATCATAGCTGTGAACACATCATAACTGTGAACACATCATTAGTGTGAACACACCACTAGTGTGAACACACCATTAGTGTAAACACATAGAGTAAGCGACGCCATTGTGGAGCGCTGTTGTGTTTGATAAGGCTTAGTAGCGATGATCAGTTGAAGAACCGCTTGGTCCTAGCTGTGAACTCGTATTCGTTTTTGCTTGTTACCGCCATGAATACGTGGTTCTTTGCTCGAGAGCCTCTTCGGGGCGACACAGCTATGGGAGGCTCTCTGCCGCTACCCATGTGACCTTATCAACACAAGACATCTCCCAAACGGAACTTGGAAATAGCGGTCTATTCGCCGTAATGTAACCATGTCCCTACACAGGGGAAAGGGCTTACCAGGCCACACTGCCTCCATGGACACATCCCTCTACAGTAAAAAGGCCTCACCAGCCCACACTGCCTCAATGGGCATATCCCTCGACACGGGAAGAGCTTACCAGCCCACACTGCCTCGATGGGCATATCCCTCTACAGGGGAACAAGGGCTCACCAGCCCACACTGCCTCGAGGGGCATATCCCTCTACAGGGGAACAAGGGCTCACCAGCCCACACTGCCTCAATGGGCACAGCCCTCTACAGGGGAACAAGGGCTCACCAGCCCACACTGCCTCAATGGGCATATCCCTCTACAGTGGAAAGGCCTCACCAGCCCAAACTGCCTCAATGGGCATATCCCTCGACACGGGAAGAGCTTACCAGCCCACACTGCCTCAGTGGGCATATCCCTCTACAGGG